GCCCGGCCTGAGGTGGCTGTGGGGGCGCGGGGCCTGCCTGGAGGCCGCAGCGAGAAGACGGGGCTGGGGCTGGCGGCGCTCGAGCTCCGAGACGGGACCCGGGCCGGCGCACTACCAGCTCGTCTACACCTGCAAGGTGGGCACGCGGCAGGAACGGGACCCGAGCACACCTGCACCTGGCGCTGGAAGGAGCTGCGTGACTGCGAGAATGTGTGGGACTATCCCCAGGGGCGGAGCCGCGCAGAGCCGGTGGCACAAGCCTTGTGGAGGGGTGGGGCTGTTTCCCCAAGGGGCGGGACCCTCCAGGAGAAGGCGGGACTGCGCGGGGGTGGTGCTGTCTCCAGGGGGCGGAGCTACGCAGAGGGGTGGCACGGGCCTTGTGGAGGGGTGGGGCTGTTCCCCAAGGGGCGGGACCTCCCGGGAGAAGGCGGGGCTGCGCGGGGGTGGAGCTACCAGTAGGGGGCGGGCGGATCCGCGCGGAGGGGTGGGGCTATTCCAAAGGGTGGGACTTTCTGGGAGAGGGCGGGACTGCGTGGAGGGGTGGACCTATCTTCAAGGGGCGGAGCTTTCTGGGAGCGAGGTGGTCGTCTCCCCAAGGGACGGGGCCTCACCGAGGGATGGGGCTGACCCCCCCAGGGAGAGGCGGGGCCAGGCACAGGTCCTTCCATGTCTCCAACAGGTCTGTGGGACTAGGTCCTCCAAGCGTATCTCTAAGCTTGCCTATCACCAGGGTGTGGTCATTGTGACCTGCCCTGGCTGCCAGAACCACCACATCATCGCCGACAACCTGGGCTGGTTCTCGGACCTGGATGGGAAGAGGTGAGGCCACTTCAGCAGGGTTGGGGATCGAGGTCTGTATCCCAGGGGGATGGCCTGGTTGATCTTGGGTCTGGAGCCCCACCCAACCTCCCTGGGGCACCCTCCTTCTAAAGATGATTACAGAGCTCACCTCTCCAAGCCCAGCTTTCTTATCAATACAGGAGGTTCAGTTACATTTGAATTTCAGATAAAATACAAGTCACTTTTTAGTGTGAGTGTGCCCCAGGTACAAGACATGTTTTTATTTGCTAAATTTTCCACCCTAGACCAACCCTCTTTGGCCCTGCTTCTTTGCCTGACCTCTGTCCTCGCTGATGGCCTATGTGTGGGAGGCAGAACCTGGTTACGTGTCAGGGCCATCCATGAGCCTCCGCTAAAATTAGGGGATCAGATGAGATTGACTCTTGAAAGCAGCGACTAGCCTATCATTTTGTGGTTCCTTCCTTCACCCTACAAAGATTTCCTGAGTGCCTGCTATGGGGCAGGGATCCTAGTATGTCACTTTCTTGTCCTCTGTTGACCCTGGCTAGTTGACTACTCTGGTCTTCGTGGGGGTGTGTGAGGTGATGTGTTGGGGCCCTGGGCCTGAAGAGTCAACCTCATCCCCTTGTGGAGAGCATTCCGGGGCAGTGGTCAGGAGCCTCCTGGCTGGGTGGCCCTGATCCCACACCCATGCTCCTAGGTGGTGCCTGGCCTGGGGTGCCCTCAAGGGACCAAGATGAAGGATGGCTGCTGGCCCTGGAGTATCATGGTGCCTCCCTCTTTCTCAGGAATATTGAAGAAATCCTGGCAGCCAGAGGGGAGAAGGTGTGCCGAGTGGCTGGTGAGGGGGCCCTGGAGCTTGTTTTAGAGGCTGCGGGGTCCCCCAAATCCACCACTGCTGTGGAAGGGGCTGAGGACCAGGATCCCACCCACCCTGGCAAGACGGAGGCCAGCTGACTCACCTGCCTTCAAGAAGGATGCTCTGGCCCTGGGCCACTCTGGACTTGCTTGTTTTTTTATCAATAAACAGACATCACTTGCAGATGTGGAGCCTGGGGGTCTCCTGCTCTCCCTGGTTCTGGAGTCAGAATGACTCACAAGAACCCTCTCCAGGCTGCAGCTGGGGCCTTCTGCAGCTACAGGCCATGTCCCAGTGGGAAGGGGCTGGACATGAAGTCTGAGCCCTTCCTGGCTGTGTCTGTGTGGCCTTGGGCAGGTCACTTTGCCCCTCTGAGCCTCTGTCTTCCTGTCTACAGATGAAAATGCTCACAGTGCCACCTCGTCAGGAGGACAGGCAGAAAGACAAGACTCAGGACTGGCATGGGGTGGCTCAGTCCTGCCCCAGATGTCAGGGCCCCGATCTTGCTGGCTCTCGGGGATGCCTGGAAGGGATGGCCAGTTAGCCACCGTTCTTCCTGGGAGCAGAATCAGCACCCCTACACCCCACTGCGGGTCCTGTCCCTCTGGCCAGACACAAGGAGGCCCCGCAGATCCTTCTGTGACACCTGCTGTTCCCTGGACAGCACTGCTGAACCAGTGCCAACCTCAGCTCTGACTCTTGGCCACTGGCCAAGCAGTCAGGAAACCAGGCTGCTCACCGTCGCCACAGACAGGCCAGGTAGCCGTGGTGGCGAGCGGAGTGGGAGCCAGGGCTGCTGTCTGGCGGTGGGCCGCGTGCCCCGCATAGTGTCCCCTCCCCCAGGGTGTGCAGTTTGTCTCCCAGCCTCGTTTGACTGTCTTCTCAGGATGTTCCTGTGTTTATGAGAGTGTGTTTATTTCCAGAAACCTTCTGGGTCGTGTGACCTTCAGCATTAATCACCAGCCACGATCTCACAGGATCCTGGCAGGATGCGCACTCCCAGCCGCCGCCCCCGCCAGCCCTGGGCCTCAGCATCTTTCCCCAGGCGCTGGCGGTCTGTGCTCTGACTCGGTCCCCCGTGGCAGACAACCCTGCATTATTCCCGTCCCCCTCCGAGGGCAGTGCCCCATCTGCACTGATGTTTCTCAGCCCAGCCGGTGCCCAGTGGTCCGGGTGAGCCCAACGTGTGCAAGGCCGGGGTGCCACCGACTTCATGGTGGCCTCCTGCACGCAGGCACAGGGCCCCGGGACTAAGGCAGCTTGGAATGTAGAGGTGTGGCCCTCAGGGGCTCACCCGCACCTAGGCTTTGGCAGGCAGTTCCTGCTGGTCCTGTTGCTCTGGGTGCTGTTGGGAACACACAAGTGTGGTGCCCCTCGGTGTCCCAAGCTTGGTCTGCATTTCCTAGCCTCAGGAGCAGACGTCTCCTGTTCACTCCTCCTGCTCAGCTCCTACTGCCTGTAGACCCCTGCCCAGCCTTCGGGGTCACCTGTCCCCCTCCGAATGCCAGTGAAGCCCGGGCTGTATCTCCTGGGGGTGAGTCCCTGAGCAGGCCAAGGTGGGGTTCTCACCTGTGCAGCAGGCTGTCCTGACGGGTCCCAGACACCTTATCTGTAGCCCAGACTTCAGGACTCAAGAGACGCAGGCAGGGAGCTGGGCTGGCCCCGGTTCCACGGCCCCTGGTGAGAAACCCTCCTGCAAGTGGGGAGGTGGTGGTGTTTCCAGCAGGGCACTGGGGCAAGGCCAGGGGTACACGGGGGGCAGCCTTGCTGTCATGCACCCCAACTGCCTGCCTGCTGTGTTCCCTGGACATGAGCGGCCTTCTTACCCCCCACCACCTGTGGAACACGAACCCCAGGGCTCCAGGCTCCTCCCCCGTGCGGACCAGCCAGACTGTCCCAGTGGCTGGGGACTCCTGGGATGAAGTCTTCTGGGTGGGGGCAGCAGGCTCAGCCCACGAAAGGGTGCATGGGTGGCTGGCCAGATGGGGAGGCCCGGGGTTCCCTGTGTCCCAATGCAGATGGGGCCAGCCCCCACAGCGCACTCCACGTGTCCCAGCAGCCTTGTCAGCACCAGAGGATCTCTGTTCCAGGACAGGAGTGTGGGGGCGGGGGGGCGAGGTGTGGGCTTTAGGAGTCACGTGGGCTCCAACAGCAGCATCCTGGCTGACTGTGTGTCCCTGGGGCTGCCACTTAACCCCTGAGTCCTAGCCCCCTCACTGATGAACTTAGCAGGGAGCGAGACTCCTTGTGGGGGTGGGTGGGAGGGTGTGGCTTGAGCCCCAGGCCCTTTGCACTGTGCAGGCTGCTCACCCTGATACGGTCTTCACCAGGCTTCCTGAGGGACCAACACCCTCAGTCGGCACTCACCCCGACATGGACAGCATTCACTTGGCAGACTTTATTTTTTTGGGAAAAACAAATGTACCTCTTGGGTTGGAAAGGACCCACTGACAACATGGCAAACACACGTGTGAGCAATAAATATGCACGTACGATCAGGCATGTGGGGCGGCTGAGGAGCCTGTGCTTGGCCTCTGGCCCACCTACCGACCCACCCTTACCCCTGAGGGCCCCACACCCCTTCAGAGGCCCCTCCGCCCAGAGCTCCCCAGGCTGTACCGTGGGGTGGAGGTCTGGCCACCTCCCAACACTCGGAGGGCAGGACTGTGGGGCTGGGTGAGGCACCACCCAAGAGAAGGCAGCGCCTCTGAGCTCTGGAGGCCGGGGGGGCTGCCGCTCGACCCTAAGAGCGCTCCAGAAGAGCTGGCGGTGGGTGGGCCCTGCAGGTGGTGGGCTGCGACGAAGGCCTGGGAGAGGGCCTGTCTCCTGCCCAGTCCTGTGGGCCGATGCCCCTGTGGGGGCGGTGGTGGTGTCATCTCCCCCCGCTGGGAGGGCTGAGGACCAGGTGCTCATGCGATCAGGGCAAAATCGAACTGACCCCCTCCCCCTGCTGAGCTATGGGTGCCCCCACGGCCACAGAGCCAGAGCCCTTGCACCCACTGCCCACCCTGGCACGGTCCGGGAGTAGATCTCGCTGCCACTGGTACTCCCAGAACCAGGCCGGCTCAGTTCCTGGGTTTCTGGGCTTGGAATTGAGAAGTGTGGCAGCTCCCCCCGTCCCCTCACATCCTGCTTGCTTAGGACTGTGTGCCTTGTGGGGCCGTGGACCCTGCGTAGGGGCACTGCCGCCACTACGGCGTCAGGCTCCAGATGTGACTGCCTCCTCCTCCCTCCTCCAGCCGAGGCAGGATTGAGGGGAGAGGGGCTGGGAGGAGGCACTTGCCAGGGGTGAGGCCGGGACTGGGGAGAACATGTTTGTGCTCGCCACCCAGGGACCAGCTTTGGGAGGAGAGAAATGCCCATGTCGCTGGTGGCCCTAGAGAAGAGGCTTCAGAGACACCTTTAGGGGTCGGGACGGCTGCAGAGTTTTCACATTTGGATGGGGGTGGGGGGCAGGGAGAGAGCATGGAGGGTCTGGACAGTACTGGGGTTTGGGGCCGACATGCTGAAGGCCGGGCCCAGGGCAGGGGTGAGGGCAGGGCTGGGCTGGGCAGGCCTGCAGGAAGCTGCGTACCACGTGGGGACCAGCCCAGGACAGACTATGCTGAGGCCTAAGCCTCCTGCCCTGGGGCAGGGGGACACAGTGAGAGCTGTGTGCCCAGCATCCGGCTCAGTGGGAAGGGCTGAGTGGCTCAGAGCCTGCCCTCAGCCATGGCCTGGGAGGATCTGGCTTCTTGGGGGGGCCATGGGCATCCTGGATATTTGTGAGTGCCCCCACCACCCCGGTGTCCAGGAATGGGGGTGGGGTGGGCCCGGCCGCAGGTGCGAGGCCTTAGCTGGCACCAGGCTGGCACTGCTGCCGGGGCTCGGGTGGTCCGCCCACCTCCTGCTCCGGGCTCCCGGCGAGATCCACCCGCTGCTCGTCCATCCGCTTGGCCTGGACCCTCTGGATGAGGCTGAAGAAGTCCTCGTCGGGCATGGTGGGGCCACGGGGCAGCACGTCGGGTGGGGGACAGCGCTGGTCGTCGATCCTGGAGGACTGGGCAGACATGGACACGTGGGCCGGCAGCCTGGCCTTCCCGGGCCTTGCAGGGCCTAACCCAGCGGCCAGTGGCCCCACAGACAACTCGGAGGCAAAGGCTGCTATCCAGCAGCAGGGCCAACTCAGGAGGGCTGGTCAGGCCACCTCGGGCCTTCCTGGGAAGCACCTCCGGCAGTGGAGCTGAGAGCCCTGACCCCAAGAACAGTCCACCTGGCAAGAGTTTTCCACAGCCGCTGGGAGTGGCAGGGCCAGAAGACAGCAGCTTGGGTGGCTTCCCAGGCCGCTCGCAAGGCCACCGGACAGCACGTGTTCATGAACCCCAGGGATGGGGTGAGGCTGCAGCTCCCAGAGCCCCCCAGGGCCCCATCAAGTCCCATCGAGTCAGGGGGCCAAGGGGGTGGCCAGGCTTCTCTGCAGGGTCTGGAGCAGAAGGGCCGGGAGGCGGTGCAGCCGCGAGAGCGTGTGTGAGTGTGGGCGGGGGGCTCGGGGCTTCCCGGAAGGCGCTGCATTCGAGGTTCCTCGGACTTGCCCAGGGCTGCGCCTTCCTCTTCTCTGTGGGAATGAACGTCACATCTGGAAACTTCCCAGCTTCCTGCATAGGGGGCTGTGGTGCTGCCCCTCCCTGGAGATTTCACTGAAGGTTTCCTGACCCTGAAACCCTGCCTGCCCCTGCACTCTGGGGGTACTGCCTGGCCCTCGGTTTTCTCCATCCAGATGTGGAAGGCTGGAGAGGTACCTGAGGCCATGGTCTTGGGGACCCGGTGACCCCAGGCTCCAAGCTCCTGTGCTGTAAGGAGCGGCCGGCCTGAGGACGTCCTGGGGTGGCCTTCTCAGGGGGCTGGGGAGGTGGGCCACAGTTTAAGTACCTATGGGTGCTCAGTGACACTGGCAGAACCGGCATAGTGTTCTGCATCCCCCCAGACCCACTCTAAGACCGGGGGACGAGAGCTTGTGTGTGGCCGCCCTGGGGCCGGGGGCCTGGGAGGACAGGCGGTGGGGAGATGACTGGCACCCAGCCCCCAGCCCCGGGCTGCATGCCCACCTGGCACTTGATGAGCATGTTGAAGAACTCATCCCCTGGCTCCTGGGGGTCCCCGTCACCTCGAAGGTGCCCCAGGTTGTTGTGGGTGATGCGCAGTCCGGGCAGGCTGCCCACGCTGGCCCGCTGGTCGTCCAGCCGGCGGCTCTGGGAGCTGGCGATGAGGTCGAAGAACTCCTCAGTCTGGGGGGAGGCTGTCAGCGAGGGCTGGGCTGCGGGGGACAGGGGTGGGGTGAGCTCCAGGGAAGCAGGGCGCCACCGCGGGTCAGGCCTGAGCTCTGAGCCCAGCACAGCCCACTGCACCCCCAGGGCCGACCCCAGACCCCAGCTGCTCTCAGCTGTCCCCACCGTGGGCCCCACACCCGCCTCCAGGAGGTGATGGGAGGAGAGCCTCGCCTCCCACGCCCTCTCCCCAGGACGGCTGTGCTGACACCGTGTGCTCCAGAGGCGGGATGATTACACACTTCTCAGGATGTAGCTTTGCGCAAGGCGGGGACGTGGAGCTCACAGTGACAGGGGGCACTTTGCAGCTGGCCTGCCCTGCCCTCGGAGCACTGCAGCAGAGTCGGGGTGCTCACCTGGTCCCAGTGCCGCACCCTTAAGGCCTAAGGGAGCCGACCGCAGGTGCTCACCCATTCTCTCCTCCAGGGTGGGGGCAGCTGTGGCTTCCGCAGCTGCGGGCTGGCCCTCCTCCAGGGGGCAGCGCTGGTCGTCCATGCGGCTGCTCTGGAACTTGCTCAGCAGGTCAAAGAAGCACTCCTCGTCGGAGGAGGGGGCCCGGGGGATGCTCTGCGTGAGGCAGGTGTGGGAAGTCGGTGCTGGCTCTGGACCAGCCAAAGGTGGCCCTGTTGGGGCCACCACCCCTCACAAACCCCTGGACACGACTGAGGGGCGGCTCAGCTTGAGCCAAGATCAGGACCCTCATCCATCACCTGCTCGCCACCCAGGCGTCTTCCCCCATCTGCCCCTCGCTCCTCCCCACAGCATCACTGCCACTCACTTCCCTCCTCCCTTGGACCCTGGCTTCCCCATCCAGGCTGCCGTCATCCTCCCTGGACTTGACACTGCCCTCCCCCGGGGCCGCTCACACCCTCTCTCCCAGCCTGGTATGCCTCCTCCCACCTCTCAATGCCCCGAGCCCCACGGGCCTCTATTGTACACTTGTGTCAGCCCCCTTTGATGAGCTCTCCTCTGGAGCCCTGGCACCCAGCACAGCACTCACCAGTGATTGCTGAATGAACAAACGAGTGACAAGGCCCTAGGCAGGCAGGGTGCCTTGATGGCCATTACACACACTTGCTGTGGTCAGTGCCAAGGCCCTGGCAGTGATGAAGGTAGACCCAGAAGGGCCAGTAATATCAGGTCATATCACCAAATGGAAAGAGCCCAAACTGGGGGAGGTGAGGGCTTCTGTGTTTCACCTCAGTTCCACTTCTTATAAGGTTTGGGCATGTTTTTATAAGGTTCTGAATCCATGCGCGGGCCCAGAGGACAGCAGCTGTGTGGGGGCCAGGACCCTGGGTGCGGGGTGTTAAGGCCAGAGACAAGATGCTATCACCCTCAGCCCCCGCCTCCACATGCTGGCTTAGAGATGCATGTGGCGGTCCAGGGTCTGCTCTGGGTGGCTCGGGGCGGGGACAGAGCCAGGATGCCAAGCTCGGGTCCTGGGTTGCTGGGTGGACCGCAGGGACTCGGAGAGATGCCATCAGTGTGCAGTCTGGGTGCAGGGATGGCTGACCCTGGGGTGACCCAGTTGGGGCCAGACAAGTCCCACTGGCAGGGGCAGGATGGGCGGGGAGGGTGGCCCTCAGAGGGGCCACAGTTCTGGGGGGAGGGCTGGGGTGAGAAGTGTGAGACCAGGTCGCTGTGTCAGGCTGAGCCCACTCCCACTGGCCTCAGTTTATAGGTGCACAGAGGGCATGGTCTCTCAGGCCAGCCTGGCCTCATCAGGCCTGGTCCAGGGCCCTGAGGACTGACAGGTGGATGGGGAAGCTTCCAGAGGACACTTTGGCTGCCAATCACTGCCCGACACCCTCCCCTCAGAAGGTAGTGGCCTCTGCCCAGCCCTGGCCTGTCCATCTCTCGGCTGGCTGGTGGCTGTCATGGCTGCTCAGAGTTGGGTGCCGCCCAAAATGTGTCAGGACCCCCAGGGCTCCCGACTTCGCATCTCCAGCCTGTTTTAGAGGAGAGTGGGGCCAGGGAGCTGGCCCAGCCCAGCCTGGGCTCCAGGAGCACAGGGAGAGCTGCTTAGAGCTGGGCTCAGGCCATGGGGCAGTGAGGCCTCCGAAGGCCAGGAGGACCCGTCGGCCAACCTGGGCAGGGAGGGGCAACGGAGCGGGCAGTCCTGACCTGCACCGACAGGTGGGAGCTGGGAGAGATCCCACCAGGGCTCAGGCTCCGGGGCTGCCTCTCCCCACACGCACACGCACACGCACACCAGGGCAGACCCGGAGCCGAGGCTGGGGGACCTCAGGGCTCAGCTCTCCTGCAGCCCCTACAGAGCCTTGAGGAAGAGCCAGGGCTGAGGGGCCCAGCCCAGAGGGCCGTACCTAGTCAACTAGGGCCTCTGAGGGAACCCGCAGGCCCAGCAGAGCGGCCAGGGGCCCAGCAATAACCCAAGCACAGGTGGGGACCACACACAGGTGCCCCCCAGGAGGTCGTGGGCTCTGCTCACAGGCTGTTGGTGGCCCCGGGCACATCAGTGTCACCCCCGCTGCAGGGGACAGCTGCTGCTCCTGGCCCCAGCCCAGCATCTGGTGCCAGCTGGGATCTCCCAGGTGGACCATGGGCCAGGTGAATGGAGTCAGGCCCCTCCCACCCCGGGATCCCACTCCTCTGGACATAGGTCCTCCCAACATCTCTCCAGCCTCCCCTGGGCTGAAACTCTGGCTCAAGAAGTGCACCTGAATGAGATGGGTTTGTTTGGTGGCCTCTCGTTGCCCCATCACCACTGTGGCCAGGGCTGGGCCGTCCAGACAGGCTCTGAAGGCACTGTGGCAGGGCCGTCTAAGCTCAAGACCCAGGACGGGCTGGGGCCTGGAAGCCCTCACTCTCCCCAGGACTGGGGCCACTTGTGAAGGGCGGGCTTCCCTTACGTGGGAGACTGCTAGCCTGAGACCACAGGCACACAGGTGAGGCCTGGGCCCCTCGCTCAGGACACCATCCTAGGTCCCAGCAGGACAAACTCAGGGGACCTGGGGACTACCCCTGGCCCCTCCAACCTTTCCTCTGCCCCAGACTCAGGCTCCTTCCGTCCTGGAGGTCTCAGAATTCCTTGGGTCTCAGCCTAGCTCCTCCAGCGGGAGTTTCAGCCTAGTTTCTCCCCAGGAGGAAGGAGCCAGCCCTGGTCGCAGAAACTCTCCCTTCCCCTAGGCCCGGGGCTACCCCCTCCAGCTGGTGCAGCCAGCCTTTGGGGCTTTCTGAGCTGCTCAGGACTGAGGGTGGGGGCTGATGGCAGCGGGGAGGCAGCTGGGGCGGTGCGAGCAATGCACTGGACTCTCCCCCCATGGACTGGCCTGGGCGAGGCTGCTAGGGAGCTGACTGCTCACCTCCCGCGGACTGCACAGCCCCCGGTGTAACTGCACACCCACCCACTGGCCACTCACCCACCCCGGCCCCCCACGAGCAGAGCTCTGCCCCCGAGTCCAGCGCCCACAGGCCTGTGACCCTCCACCTGTGTCAGGCCCCGCACTCACGCAGATCCGAAGCTCTCCAGCAGAAACCAGGTGCGGTCTGGGGTCCTTGGCCACGTGGAGCCCGGGCAGGACGCCAAGGTCCCTGTGCCAGTGCCCTACCCGCTGTGCCCGGTGCTGCCTCGCTGCTGAGACCCACGGGGCCGTTAGCTTAATGCTTAAATAGGACCCAGGGCGAGGGCCCCTCCCCGTCCCCGCCCACCTTCGCAGCACACACGCACCGCACACACGCAGGCGCGCTCCGTAAACACTGGAAGATGAATTTCCCTGAGCACAGAACCTGTGGGCAGTCACACCAGAAGGGGAGGGGGACGGAACCTGCCCGGACAGCACTTCCTCACTCTGACAGCAGCCCCGGCTTCCTTCCCCTCCTTCCTCAGCCCAGATTCCCGAGGCCCGAGGCCGGGAGCTGGAGCTGCGGGTGAGAAGCCAGGTGGGTCGGTGCCCTTTTCCATCCTGGGCCTCGGTGGCTGTGTGGCCTGACCTCCCTCCCCCCTACACAGCCACCTCCCCACGCAGCAGCGCCCTGGCCTCCGCCCGGCCCCGGCCTCCTGCTGCCCAGCCTGCCCTGGTGTACCTTTCCTGCTCTGGGAGGTCCGTGGAGTCCTAGCGTCTCACAGCAAGACACTTGTCAGCCCAGCCCTGGGGTCCAGCAGGGGCTGACCCCAAAAGGCATCTTGGGGAGCCAGCTGTGAGCCCTGGCAGGAGAGGTGAGGACAGGATGGGGGGCACTGGAGCCCCCCATCTAGGGCCCTGTCCTGCTTCCACAGTGAGCTTGGAAGTGCTGATCCCCTCCCATCACGGCCCTGGGGGAGGAGGGGCCCCCACCAGCAGCCCAGGCCTGGCCCTTTGAAGCTGCCTCCTGTCAGGCCCCAGTAGGCAGGGGGCTCAGCCTACCCTTGGCCTCAGGCCTCCAGCTGGGACCAGGCTCAGCGCTCAGCTGTGGGAATTGTCTCCAAAGGCACTACCACGGCCCGAAGCCCTGCTGTGTTCTCTGCAGAGGCCAAGGGGGAGGTGCCAGGAGCTGGCCCTGGCCCTGGGACCCCAGCTCCACCGCCCCTAGCTGGACGTCCTCAGGCCATTTCTTCCCTGCTCTGCGCCTCAGTTTCCCCTCTTCAGACAACTGTAAACACAGCACACTTAACAGGCCTGAGCGTCGGCTCTGTCTGTTTGGTGGAAGGGGCTCTGGGTGGCAGCTGTGGGATGTGGCTGGGGCCAGAGTGAAAAGGTGGAGCAGGTGAGCAGTCGGCAGCACGTGGCAGCCATTTCCCGGCCTGGGCTCCACCTTCCCAGGTCCCACCTCTGGGGCTTAAAGCTCTGAGACCCCCGGATGGGAGTGGGGTACAGCTTTGCCTTGGCTGCCATCTTTGGCGAGACTTCAAAAACAGCCCTCATGCTGCGAGGCTGGCGTGGTTTAGGGGTGCGAGGGAATCAGAAAGACAAGTCTCTCTTTGCTTTCCCTGTTTTGGGGGCCTAGGCAGGCTCTGCTGCCTCCACCACTCAGCCTCCCTTTCATAGAGTGAACATGGGGGGGTACCACCAGCGCCATCACCTGGTAAGTATGGTCCTAGATGGAGAAGCCAGGTGGTGGGAGCCATGAGCACAGGTGGGAGCCCTGGGCAGGTCCTTCCTGCTCCAGAGCTCTCTGTGGCTCCCCAGTGCCCTGGTGGGGGTCAGTCACACCTCCTCAGACCCCAAAGTCCCCCGTTGTGCTAGTGGCAACACCCCTGCACCACCTGGGCTTGGGGTGGAGGAGGAGCAGGGCCAGCTGCTAACACAAGGGAGTGTCAGCAGCGGCCCCGTTGGCCTGGGACCTGATGGGGGACTCCTGCCCCAGGCAGGGACCCCTCGCCTTCCCACGGGATAGCCTGGCCCATGTGTCCCGCTCCCTGTCTTACTCCACAGACACAGACTTCTGGCCCTCAGTTGGCTCGTCTGGTGGCACTGGGGTCAAACGGGTCAGTGGAGGCTTCCCCAGGCTCGCGATAGATGAGTGCAGAGCAGCCTCAGGCTAAAAACACCCAGCACGGTGCCCACGCCCCTTGAAGGCTGAGAAAGTGCTGATTAAACCCTTGGAGGGAACTATTTTTAGACTAATTCTCTGACGTTTGAACCCAGGTGTTCTGCATGGGGGGCTCCAGGCTGACCTCTAAACCTGGGCTTGACCAGAAACTCAGGTTTGCCCTTCTGTGTCCCCCGTACCCTAACCAACTCCAGAGAGCCGGGAGGGGCCAGCCTAGGCTCCTGGGCACAGTGGGACGCCGGGCAGGAAGAAGCCACACCCCCATTCCTCCATCCGCCGCTGTCCGTCTACCTGATCACTAGCACACCCATCCCTCATCCATCCCCGGAGATGCTAGGCCTCCCAGGTCGACTGCCCAGGATGGGCTCAGAGCCCCCTGGGGCCCCCTGTTGGCACCCAAGGAGAAGTCTCCTACCGTGCGAGGCACCTGCACCCGGACGTCTGCACTGTCCAGTGGGGAGTGGCCACCTTCCCGGGGCCTCCTCTCAGCAGCGTCCGGCCCCTCCTGGTACTTCCTGCTCCTCACGGGGAGGGGGAGCAAGTCCCTGCCCGGCCCCCGCCAGTCCCCCGCATGGTGGCTGTCTCCATTCTGCTCCTGGAAGTGGGGAGGAAGGCCGGCCATCGGAGTGGGCCAACAGCAATTCTGAACCAATGCTCCCCGTCCCAGGACCCTAAAGGGTGGCTGAGCAGACGCTGTCACCCCTGTCTCACTGAAACTCACGGAGGCACTCAGGTGCCAAAGGGAGGAGGCAGCGTGGGGGCAGGCAGAGACACGGTGGGTGCTGGAGGAGCTGGGGCTGGGTGTCTGACTGCCTCAGACACCCGCCTTCCCACACAGTGGGAGACTGTGGGTGGCCCTGAGCTTTGTCCCCTAGTGGGTCCCTGTAACTGAACCCAGTCTATACTGGAGGAACCAGAGGCTTTGAGAGGGGAGGCCACTGCCCCAGGACCACACAGTACCCACCCCTGGCAGGTACAGAGTGGGCCCAGGGCACCCAAATCTGTTTGGGGTTTGCCAAGTCCCAAATGCCCCATCTATAACAGCTTTGCTTCCTCACGGAGCAGAGTCCGAGTGGGCAGGGAGCGGACAGGAATGGAGGCCAGCCAGGACACTGGGGACAGTGGCTGAGGATTGGAGGAAGGCGGTCTACAAGGTGTAAGGACTCTGGCTTGTTCCCTTGGGGCCCTGGCTGGCGGGACTCTGAGGTGAGGAAGAAGAGGATGGGCGCTGGTGAGGCAGGGTCCCCTGGGGGCCTCTCAGGGCAAATGGCCTGTCCAGGGTCCTGGGCTGCAAAGGGCACATCAGTCTCCCATGGCAGGGAAGTGATGCAGACAGGAGCCCAGGCGGGCAGCAGCAGCTCAGCACACACTGCACCAGCCTCATTAACCCGCTGCCTACTCCCTGTCGCCCACCCCCAAAGCGCCCCCAGGACCCCGCCTAAGACCCACTCACCCGCTCCAGGGGAAGCCTCAGGAGGTCCCAGGTCTCCGCGCTCAGCCTCTGCGTCCTTTTGGGCCTGGCCCCTGAAAGACAGCAGGCCTGGTCAGCTGGCACTGACCCCTGGCCTTGAGGTGGGCTGGCTTGGGAGCCAGGCATTCCAGGCTCCTGCCCCCTGCCCGACATGGAGGCAAAAGCAGGGTGCGCATGACCTCCGGCCCTATCAGGACAAGCAGTTCCTCGTAGAGATAGGGCCGATCTGCAGGGACTTGGGCAGGGTCTGGCTCTGGTGCTCCCCCGTCTGGTCCAGTTTCCAAATTCTGGACCTCACACTCTTACTCCCCGGCCTTAGCTTGCACTGCTCCCTCTCCTGGGAGGCCCTTCCTGCATCTGCGCTGCCACAGCCAGCCGCAGACTCAGCTCAGCTGCTCCCCCTACTCTGCCTGCACGGTGGGCAGCCCAGGTCCCCCAGGGGGGCCGAGTGAGCTCTCCTCTGAGGGCTGGACGAAGCGAGAGAGACAGCTCCAAGTAGGAAAAGATGGGCTCTGTCCGGAAGCAAAGGATTGGTGCATCACCCATCCCACAGCCAGTACCCACCCCAGCCCACAAAAAGCCCTGTTCTGCCTTCCTGCGGGAGGCCAGCTACGGTCCTCTCTCGGCTGCCCCTGGATACCCTGGGGGTCCAACTAGGTTTCCCCACCCCATCCACTGGGCCCTGCACGGCTGTCTCTGCCCCACCTGGCCCTCCACCACAAAATGTCCTTCTGAGACGCAGCCCGCGTCCAGCTCCTCCGGGGCGGGACCCTCATGGCCACGCGGACAGCGGGCGGAAGGCCCTCTGGGCCCAGCTAAATGCACCCTCTGTCTGGAGTGTGCGTCGAGGCGGTCTGAACCCGGCGCTTCCAACGGTCCTCGCCCTGGGCTGAGCCCTGACTGGGGGCATTCAGGCCTGGCACTGCTGGCTGGCTTCCTGCCCCGCCCACTTGAGAGGGCCAGGCCTGGAAACTTCCCCAGGGATGCCCCACCACCGCCGAGTCTGACTGGCACCTCGTCATCACTTCTGTCCCCACTAGCCATCTGTCCCTGCACAGCCTGTCCCAACCCACTGGGCCCCTAGCGCCTCCCTCGCCTTCACCCCCGACCCCACTTCTGAAAACCTGGCAGCTTCACCTTTGGGACAGACCCAGGATCTGACACTCCCTCCCAGCCCTGCCTTCCTGCCCAGCCTTGCCCCCCCCCCAGTCCCTTCTCCATGCACGGGCCAGAGAGATGCCCTTAGAATCCGGATTAGATTTTCTTCCTCCTCTGCTAAACCCTGCAGGGGCCCCACTGGTGTCGGGGTGAGGCTGACACCAGGGCCCACCAGGCCCTCCCCGACCCTGGCCTGCCACCCTCAACCCCAACCCTTACCCTCTGCCCTCGCTCCGCTCCAGACACAGTCCCACTGTTCCTCCCTGCCAGGTCCTCCTGCCTGGGGTGGGGGGAGGGCCTTTGCAAGGGCTGTCTGGTCTACCTAGACTGCTGTTCCTCTTAAGCTCAGGGCTCACTCCTTCCCTTCCTTCAAGTGTCTGCTTAGATGTCACTTATGGATTGAATGTTTGTGTCCCCCAGATTCCATATATTGAAGTCCCGAACTTCAAAGTGATAGCAATGAGGAGGTGCCTTGGGAGATGGTCAGGGTGGGCTGAGGTCATGCGGGCGAGGCCCTGGAAATGGGACTGGTGCCCACATGGGAAGAGACCAGAGAGCTCATTCTCTCTTCCCCCTGCACCCCACCCGTCTCACCTGGGCCAGACCAGGAGGAGGGCCCTCACAAGGCCCTGCCAAGTGGGCCCCAAGCTCTTGAAGGTCCAGCCTCCAGAACCAAGAGAAAAAAACATCCACTGTTTTAAGAGTTTTTTTTTAAATTTCTTTTTGGGGGGGTGGTAATTAGACTTATTTACTTATTTATTTATTTTTAAAGAAGGCACTGGGGAGTGAACCCAGGACCCTGTGCATGCTAAGCATGCACCCTACCACTTGAGCTGTACCCTCCCCCCAACATCCACTGTTTAAGCCGCCCATTCTGTGGTGTTTTGTTACGCAGCTCAACCTGACTGAGATGTAGGTCTCTGTGAGGCCCATCAGCTGCTGTATTTAATGCTACGTCCTGCCCCACCTGACACTCCCAACCCCCTACCGACCTGCTTCCTTCCAGGCTCCTGTAACACATCATTTGTTTTCTGCGAATTTATCATTTCTCATTTGTTTCGTTCGCTGCTGTGCCCCTAGAGCTTGGACAGGGTTTGGCACATAGGGGCTTTCAGGACAGTGGAATGAGTAGCAAGTGTTTACTTAGTGCCTACTGTGTGAGGACCTGGGTGCATTTTCAGGCACTGTTCCTTCAGGGCTGTCCCCAGCATAGGAAGTACTGGCCACCCTCCAGGGACTGTGGACATTGGGCCTCAAGAGAAGGTGACCACCACCAACGTCACAGAGCCTGAAGGGGCAGAGCCAGGGTCAGGATGGGAAGTCAGGGCTGTACGTGTGTGCCCACACTGGGGGGGGGGGCGCGCTACGGGAAATCAGGCTTACCCGGCCAGCCCTTAGGGGGTCGAGCTGAGCACAGCCAGAAAAGAGAGACGTAAAGACAGACTTGTCCTCATGCCCTGAAGCCCCGATCTGTCCATCACAGGTGCCTGGCATGTGGGTGGGCTGCAGGCACTTGCTGAATGCACGGACAGACAGTGATGTGTCTGCAACTCTAGACCTCCCCAGGGCAGGAGCTGTGACCTTGCCCCTGCCAGGAGCTCTTCCCAGGACCACCAGTGGGTCTGCTTCCCAGATGGGGACACTGAGGCACTGCTAGGTCAAGTTACTACGTCAGCTGACCAGGATGTGTAGAGCCAGGGTGAGAGCCTGCAGCCGAAACTGCCAGTTAGATGTTATACTGTGTACATCCCAATCTCCCATCATGGCTGAACCCGCTTGTCCAGGGACTCCCCTGCTCTGGGCCCAGGACCCCCGCAGCATGAGCAGAGGAGGCAGGGCAGCCCCACCCTGGACACAGAGCTGACTGCCTCCTCCCGTGCACTGATTATGTTGTCACGCCAAGCAGGCGCAGTAGGACCTCAACCAGCATGCTCCCCCCAATCCTGTGCCCTCCCGGGACAGCCACCTGGGCAGACTGATCCTGGTCCAGGCAGCAAATGGCAGGGAGGTGCCCCCTCCCACCCAGATTCACTCTGAGCCCTCTTTGCTGGGGTGTGGGCAGCAGGGGCCATGAGTTGGGCTCTGGGTCCTCCTGCATGAAGTGTCCTCGTTTTTATCATGATAGAAAAAAATGTCCCTAGGCCTGGCCTCCAGCTGGCCAGCCACCACCAGGCCTGCCGCCCCACCACGGGCCATGCCTCCTGTCCTGTGTCCATACTGGCCACAAAGGCCACGCCCACAGGCTTCTTCCTGTTCTGAGGCAGCCCAGGGCTCCTACCTCCCATGGAGGTGCTTACCTGGCCCCCTTCACCTCCCTGCACACTCACAGGCTCCGGATGTGCAACTGTCCCATCTGCATCCCCAGGGACAGTTTCCAGAAGACAGGCACCCAGCTTTCTGGAAACTGGGCCAGCTCACCGCCCACGCTCAGTATGTGCCAAACGAACGAGTGAGTGAGGGATGAATGAATGAGGCCGCTCCAACAGACAGCCTAGCCATGGCTCCCTCCACAGGCCTTGCCCGAGCAGGGGTCTCCTCCGGAGCCACCCAGACTCAAGGTGCTGGTCGGCCTCCAGCAGTTGCATCCCAGGGCTGGGGCACCCAGGGCTGCCCAGAGCCCTCAGACCTGGCTCCGCGGGCCTGGGTGGGCCACCCCAGCCACTGTCCTCCCAGGGGGACGGCCTCTTCCCAGCGTCTGCTGGCAGCCTGGTGGGCGGAAGCTTCCAGGGGCCCTGGCTGGGAAGGGTCTGGGCACCGGGCAGGGCAGAGGAGCAGGCATGGGGAAGACAGAAGCTGCCTTGTTCCTGCACGGCCTGGCCGGTCACCAACCCTGAGCCCCCCTTCCCTCAGCTCAGAGAAGGCAAATGCCAGGAGACGCAGGGCTGGGCCACACCTCTCTGGAAGCATTTCCAGATGCTGGGACCGGCCCTGCCCCCACCTGCTGCTGGGGTTCCCAGAGGGTGGCCTCACAGGGCCAGCTGCCCGCCCTCAGAAAACCCCAGCCTGAAGGGCAGATGTTGGCCTGGACAGGTTGGGTAGGGTGGGGAGAAAAGAGGGCCATACTCCATCCTATCCCCACTGGCCACAGCACCCCCAAAACAAGAGTGGCTGAGGGCCCCAGAAGGGCTCTCCTGTCCTCAGCCTCTGAGCCGGGTGGCACGAGCCCCTATCTCTCAGGACAGGCCACGTCAGAAACCCAGGCGCTTCATAGCACAGGAGTCCAAGACCTGACACCACGGCTGGCTGGCCTCCCAGCCTGGCTCTGGGCAGGCCGGCAGGGCTTGGAGGCTGGGGCAGGGTGGGCACTCTCAGGGACACAGCATGAGGGGTCTGGGCCAGAATCCCTGAAAACTCAAGAACCACGGGGACTCTGTGGGCCAGTAGGGGACACCTAAGTCCCTGCCCAGAGCCTGCCCCCACCCACCTGCAGGAGGCCAGCTCAGTGCGGCCCCCTCCCCCAGTGCCCCATATTTATTAATCTATTTGCTTTGCAGTGAACGTCCTGTCCTGGTCTGAGTAGCATCTCTGACCTGTATGGGGCGACCAGCAGCCTGTGAATGAGGTCATTGTACCCACCGTGGCTGGTCTGAGGCCTCGGCTGATGCATACCCAGCGCACCTCCCTCCACCTCAGATGATTCAGCCCCTCCCTCCTGCCATCAGGCCCCTCCCACTGGGCTCCCACAGGAAGGCCTCCCCCAGGCCCAGCCCCCAGCCTGGAGCGGGATCTTGGGCTCCAGAGGGGTGGAGCAGCAAGGGAGAGGCAGTGAGCTGTGATGATAAACCCAGGGACTCATCAGGGTGGCCCCAGAGCCATGAAGAACTGGCCTGAATGCCCCTTTGCCCGTGCTGTCCCCCACCTTTTAGTCCCCCGATTCTGACCCGCCCTGGGGAAACAGCCCTGTCTGTGCCCCAGCACCTGTCATTCACTCACCCCTATTGTGAACTGGGCTGGTGAGTGGGGCTCAGATGCTGACAACCCCCAGGAACAGGGCTCCACATCTTCCGAGGGGCCCCTTCCCTCACCCGGCAGCCATCAGAAATTCTCGTTTAGGGACAGAGCCCATCAGCCCCAGCATGAGGCAGGGCCCACTGGCCCCTAGGCGGCTCTCCTGCCACAGCCCTGCCCTCCGAGGCCCCTGCATCCCAGGTTGAAGTCTGAGCCTGTCAGGAAACAGGATTCCCACCCCTACAGGCCAGGAACTCACCTTGGGCCTCATAGCCAGCCAGGTCTGGCTTCTCTGCGGCCGCCGGGCTGGATAGCCGGCCCAGTGCCAGCTGCAGCTGCGCCACGTTCATGCGGGCCGTGAGCTCCCCGCTGCGGTCCCCAATCTGTAGTCAGGCAGGGCCCGGTCAGTGGGCAGGTGGGCTGGGAGGCCCTGCCGTGAACTCCCACTGGACCATCACGATCCTGGGGCCTTCAAGGGAAATAAACTGGGCCCCACTGGGCCCTAGAGTGGACTCCAGAGGTGTCCCTGGGTGGGAGTGGCCTCAAGAGCCCCAGACAGCCCCCCTTCACATCCCAGCCTGGCTGTGCCATATGGAGCCCTCCTTCTGGGAGCCCTCGTGGCAGAAAGGCCGCATGCTTAGCCAGGAGCAAGCCAAAGGAAGGGTGGGGCAGGAGGGACCTGCGCATGGAGCCCCAGGGCCACTGCCCGCCCTGCCTGTGCTCGGAGGGACATGGTGACTAGCCCAGTGGAGGGCTCTCCAGACCAGGACCTCCCCTGACTCGAGCTTTCCTGCTCCTCCCCATGTCCACCGGGGCACCAGCAGGTCCTGCCCGCCCATGGACTTTGGCCCATGGCAGGTATGGACAGGCGCTGGGGGTGTGCCAGAGGGAGGCAACACAGCTCTGCTCCCGGGGGTGTGGTGGGGGCCGAGGAGCGGGATGGGGTGAGGTGAGGACAGATCAGGAGCCAGGAGACAGAGTTCACCCATGATGACGCCCTCAGAGACCCTGCCCGTCCTCCCTAGGAAGGTGTGAGGGCCCTTCCCTGGTTGAGGGCCCCAGGGAAGACCCCCCAGGGCCGCCCCCCAACAACCTCCGGTAGATCCTTCATCCTTGGGTTTTGGACACAGGCCTTCCACGGCCCAGCCTGGCCCAGTTCAGTCAGGGACAGAGGCACCTGCCTGTGGCTGCCCAAAGGTGCTGCTCACACTCTAGGAGCAGAAAACAGGCTCCTGCCCCCCACCCTCCCCCGGGACTATAGCAGACAAGCAGCCACCAGGCCTCTGAAGGCCCGTGGTAGCTGGGCCCCATCACGGCGCACAGCACAGCCAGGAAAGGACAGGGAGGCAGTCCAGGAAAGAGCCCAGAGCACACAGAGGCACCTGGCCCAGTCTGGAGCAGGCTGGGCAGCACATGGGCAGCCTCCAGTGCCGGCCGAGGGCAGGGTTGGGGGCAGAGAGGGGCAGGCCGGGCTCACCTCCTGGGAGATCTCCAAGTGCTTCTTGGCGAAGGTCAGGGCCTGTGCTGGGCTCCCCATGGATACGTAGGCATTCCCCAGACTCCAGCACGCCCGGCCCTCGCCCACTCTGCCGGAGAGGGAAACTGAGTCCATGTCTGTGCCACCCAGGCCTGCTGGCCTCCCTCCTAGTCTGGCCAGCCCAAGCCCTGCCTCCAGGTGGTTAGGCCCATCACAATGGGAGGTGGGAAGGCAGGGTGGCTTGCTGGGGTGTCAGGGGCTGCCCATGGATGGCCCAGAGTTCCTGGTGTGGCCTTGACTGCCCCCTAGTGGCCAGTGAGGCTCTCACCCCTGTGGCTCCCTCCACCCTGGGCAGCAGTGACCTCATTCCCTTGGATCATTAATTTTTAAATTGAGGTGAAAATAACAGCACGGAAATGTAACCACTGTAAACGCACAACCCAACAGCGCCACACACGTTCACAGCCTGGACCCTTGTCGCCATCTAGGTCCAAAGCATCACCCAAAAGAAAAATCACAGGCCACTGTAAGCCTCCTGGCCGAGCAGCTTTTTAGGAGCTCCCTCCTGTCCACCACCCATGAAAGGAACCTGGCCAGTGGCTCTGAGTTCTTGCACTGCAGCCGCTGCCCCACAAACACACTGCTGTGTGTTTAGGAGTCTTCGGTCAGGCTGTCTGTCTCCCCACGGAGACTAATATTTGCATAGACACAGAGACAGAAGGGGAAGGGAGGGTGTTCCAAGGGGCAGTGGTCTGAGAACTAGGGCACAATCCCCCAAGCTTGTGCCAAGGGTCACTGCGAGCTCACTCAGTCCTACTCAGAGAGCTGCGTGGCCCAGTGACAGAGGGAGGCTGAGCCGAGGGGTGCCATCGGTGGTCGGTGGCACCTCAGATGCAGACCAGCGAGTCTGAACTGCAATCAGCTTGCAGTTCAGCCCAGGAGCCTGAAGGGGCTGTCGGGAGCCCTCCAGTCTGGGCCTGCCCACCCACCGCGTCCCCGCCGCACACACCTGTCGGCCAGCTCCTGGGCGATGAGCAGGTGCCGCAGGTGATACTCGGCAGCCCGCTCGTAGTCCTGCAGCAGCGTGTACGTGTTGCCCAGGCTGTAGCAGGCCTGTGCCTCCACGGCCTGGTCCTTGAGCTGCCGGGACAGCTGCAGCGTCTTCCTGCGCAGGGGGCGGGGAAGTCAGCCCTCAGGAGGGAAACTTCCAGTATGCCCTGCCCCCTCAGGGCACTCGTGCTCCCACGAAGCCCCCTTTCCAAGGGGCAGATGGTGGGTGATGGGGGAAGCAGCCCTTTGGCCCAGAGGCCTCCAGCCCTAGGATTCCACTGGGGGTTTCTCTGGCTTTGTCAGTCGGCCCTTCCAGTGGGGTCTAGAACCCCCCATGTGGCCCCTGGGGAGTCTGGGAGGGCAGACCTTGGGGTGGGCGTTTCCGTGGCCTGGTGTCCAGGCACCCTCCTAGGCCCAACCCTCTCCCTGGCTGGGCAGCGCGGGTGGGCGGGGCCTGCCTACTTGTAGTACTCTGCAGCCACGTCGAAGCGCCCCAGGAAGATGTGGGCGTTTCCCAGGTTGCTGTAGGCCCTCCGCTCTGCCGCCTTGTCTCCAAATTCCTTAGCAATGGCCAGGCGCTGAGGACACAGACATGAGGCCCGGGTGGTTGTGGAGCAGCCTGGGACCTGATGTGGATGGCAGGTGCTGCCCTGCCCAGCATGGTTCAGCCTGATGTCTGTGTGCTCAGAAGGGCAGCCCCGGGAGCCCCAGCACCAAGCCAGACAAAGCCATGCCACTCTGCCCCAATATTGGGGCGATCCCACTGCTGCCACGCTGTGCACTCACCTCCTTGTGGAAGGCGGTGGCCTCCGTGAAGCTCCCCAGCAGATAGTGCGTGTTGCCCAGGTTCCCGTAGGCCCTGCCCTGGGCCGCCCGGTCGCCCAGCTCCTTCACCAGGGACAGGTTCCTCCTGGGGGGCCGAGCCTGTCTGAGCTGCGTCCCTCCCAGCGACCACCCACCCAGGCTAGAGGATGCTGAGCGGGTGGCCTCACCCTCCCAGAGTTGTGTTCCCGAAAGAGGGTGGCTGGATGCTAAGCTCCAAGGCTCAGGTCAGGGGCTCCCCAACCCCCGACTCTGGTTTTCAGATGCAGCCTCTGGAGGGGAGGGTTCTCCCACACCTGGGGGCCTGGCCCAACGTCCTGGCCCTTCTTCCAGCCAAATGTTTTAAAACCCCGCACCTGGCTGTGGCTCCACAGTTCCCTGCCTCTCTCCACTGCTGTGTGTCATCAAGAGGTGGGAAACGCCCGGGCCTGGTGGGTCCCACCAGGCTGAGGATGGGTGGGGGTGGGGGAGGAGAGTGCTCTGACCCTGGGGCCGCCCAGGTCCCTGCGTTTGTGAATCTCGTGGACAAACTCGCCCTGCTCACTCGTAGAACTCAGAGGCCCGGCGCAGCGTCTCCCGGACAGCAGGGGGCAGGTGCCCAGGGTCCTGCGCGGCGTTCCAGGACAGCTGCTTGCCCTTGGCGTGGTACACGTTGCCAATGTTGTACAGTGCCCTTGCCTCCCCGACCTGTGGGTGACACCGAGGTTTGGGGGGTGTCTCCAAAGCCACAGTCCCCAGGAGCCAGCCGCTCAGGCTGTGTGTCTGCAGAATGGGTATTCCCACCAGCTGGCCCACCATCCCGCTCTTCCTGGGGCCCTGAAAGCAAGGGCCCACGGGGTGGCATCACTGAGTCCAGACACTAAGGTAGGGGTCACTGGGAGGGAGGGACCTGGCCCCACCCCTTCTGGCTGCCCCTCCCTGGTGCCCAAGAGTAAGGTTCTGGCTCCGCTCCACCACCTCCTGCTGTGACCTGGGTGAGTCGGCCACCTCTCAGCCGCAGTCCCCTCGCCTGGACAGCGGCAGGGAGGCTCATCTCACAGGGTCACGGGGGGGACACAGAGCACGGCTGCTCCACTGACGTCCGCCCCTCCAGCCAGGCCTCCTCCCGGAGCCGGGCCCCCAGCCCTCCACTCCCAGAAAGGTGACTAGACAAGGTGTTGGCAGATTCGTGGGAAGGTCGGGGGAAAGGGGAGCTGGCATAGAAGTGACGGACTGGGAGCCCCAGCCTGGGGAGCCGGGCCTCAGCCCCACGGTGTCTGTGTGAGCTGGAAGTGCCCTCATTTCCAAGAGGACCATCCTTCCGCCTTTCTCCCACGGCGGGAGAGCGTGGGGCTGCGAGCGGTGTCATCTGTGGCCCCAATCCCAGACCCTGACAGGGGCACAGGTCAGGGGGTGCTGCCCACCTTGTCCCCCTGCTCCTGTGCGATGTCCAGGTGCCGCTGGCAGCAGACGACAGCCTCATCAAAGCGGCCCAGAACCTTGAGTGTGTTGCCCAGGTTCCCGCTGGCTTTGGCCTCCCCCATGCGGTCGCCAATGGTCCTGGGGGGCAGGGAGGAGTGAGGGGCCAGACCAAGGACTGGTGGGGACCCTGAGACCAGCAGGGAGCCCGGTGAGGGTGGCAAGGGTCTGGGGGGAATGGGAGCCCACAGCCACTGGGACGATGCTGGGCTGGGGTCCCGTAGTGGGCTGAGGCCCAGCGCAGAACCGCTCTTTGCTGGGTCAGGTCTGGGGTTGGCACTTGAGCAGCCTGCAGCTGCTGGGGGGCTCAGGGAGGCCCCTGGATGGAGGAAGGGAGAGTTGAGGGGCCTTGCAGGGGAGTTTACAGTAACTCGTTCAGTGAATGTTTGCTCTGTGCCTGGCTGGGTGCTGAGGACAGGGCTCACTGGCTAGTGCAGAGGGCCTGTGAGCAGGGTTGGAGGGGAGCCCCGGGAAGCCCTGCCCGAACCTGGGAGGCCTGGGCCTCTGATGGGGCATTTCCTGCAGGCCTGAAGGAGCAGGAGTGGGCAGGGAACACGCAAGGGGAGGGTATTCCAGGTGGGAACAGCATGGGCAGAGTTCTGGAGGCCAGAGGAGGACAGAGACACTGGGGAATGGTGGGGGTGAGAGGCTGTGGAGTAGGTGTGGCCAGCGAGGAAGAGGTCGGAGTTCATGGTGGGAGGAGGAAGGGGCCCCCGGGACAAGACCACTCCATACAGGGCAGGTGGGGAGGCTGCCCTGAGCCCCCCAGAGACAGGCACATGCACACAGACATACAGACTCGTGTGCCTACCCAGACGTGGAATGCTGGGCCACGCCCACGCTGTTGGATACACTCACAGGCGTCTCAGCTTAAACACAGCCCCTGGGGGCACCTCCGAATCCCCCCCAGGCTAGGGGTGCCCCTCTGGGTTCCCATGCCCACACTGGGAATGCCACTTCCCAAGGGCAGGGCACCCAGACGCTGCCCAGTCGGCCGCCCAGCGAGGGGAGGGGCAGCCCGGCCCCCCGGCCCGCCCCCCCGCCCCCCCCGCCCGTGGCTCACCGGGCGAGCAGCAGGTCGTGCTTGTGGTACTCCAGCGCCCGGGCGTACTCCTTCAGGTAGAAGTAGGCGTTGCCCAGCTGGCTGTAGATGGCGCTCAGCGTTTTCAAGTCCTCAGTGCCTACCTGCACAGCGGCCTCAAAGAAGGCCACGCCTGCCTTGAAGTCCCCCGCCTTGCACAGACGCTCGCCCTCCAGGGCCAGCTCCAGGCACGAGGCCTCCATCCTGGGCAGAGAGAGGAGTCGTCACAGCCTGCCTCTCACGCCGGCACGCCTGGGGCCCCACGCTCCTCCACGTCGTCCCTCAGACCTGGGCCCATTGGACGGCGGTGGCCAGCCCCATGCCAGTGGGGGCAGACCCAGGTCTCTTTTTGGCTGAACTCTTAGAAGAGCACTGGGTCCGGCAACAGGCCCCACCCGAACCTCACTGTGCGCCTTCCTCTACCCCGGGGCCCCAGAGTGCCAAAGCACCGTGTGAGGCTGCGATGACAGTCAAACGCTCAGCCTGCGGAGGCCAAGCTGCAAACACTGCCTCCGTCCCCCGAATCCCAGCCGACAGGACAAGGGCTGCCCCTGGGCCAGGTGCCACACGCTGTCTTCCAGAGTGGCCGCGGTAGCCTGGGGCAGGCCCTGATCCCCAGTGAGGACGACCAAGGCTCACAGGGTCACGGACAGTGCCACACAGGCAGGATCCAACCCAGCCCCGCCTCCGCCCTGCATCCTCAGGCAGGGGGACCCCATGCTTCAGGCTCTCGTTGGGGGCCTGGGGCTAAGCCATCACCTGTCCTCACCTCCCATCCTCTGGGGAGCATGGCTGCATCTGAGCTGATGTCCTTGTCTAGGGGCAGGAAGGGGGTTTGTCGGGGGAAGGCACAGGAGCAGCCAGGGAGAGGGCACCCCCATGAAGAGCAGGCGGCACCCCTGCCCCCGCCCGGTGACCGCACAGCAGGTGAGCACCCCGGAAAAGCCAGAGGCAGCTCTGCCCGTCACAGGCCGCCGGATCCTCCTCCTCCTCCTCTTACGCCCACTGCTTTCTGATGTCAGCAGAGTAATTTAAAACATGCACCCCAAACAGCCCCATTGCACCCCAAGGCCCTCCCCTTGTCTGTGTTGTTAGAATAGTGGAATAATCAGGAATTACTGGGGGAAAACCAATGCATTTCCTTAAAAAATAAACAAAATTGTCCAGAGCAGTGCTTTTCAACCAAAATGCCCCTTTGATACAAAACCACAATGCTCCGTTCACTCTTGTCCCTGTATTATCGAGAACACGGGGCACTTTCAACTTCTACAAATGAGAAGGATGCCTCGGGAATGGGCAAGGGCAGTGAAGCCCTTGAGAAGCTGAGCCCTGCGCCCTGCACCCGTAAGCTCAGCGCTCTCTGTTGGGGAAGGCCCCACCTTCTGGGTGCCCCTTGTCCAGCCACCACTCTCCAACGTCAGGGTCACTCCTCCTGGGAAAGTAGGCTCCTCCCCTCCTGGAGGATGCAGGGCCGTACTCACAGACCCCACCACCACCCCGCCATCTCCCTGCCTCCCAGGGCCTGCGGTGGATCAGGGGATTCAGTCAAGCAGAGCCCAAGTGGCCTCACTGAGAACTGGGGTCAGGGACATGGCCTTGACACCAGGATGTCAGCCCCTGGGGCTCCCTATCACCATACGTTGGAGCCTTGGCAGCCACCTCGCCCAGCGCTCTTGGTAGAGCCATTCCGACGCCACGTCGCAAGAGCCCATGGACAGTCCCACTCCCATCACCAGGGCCACACACGGGGCTCCCTGTTTAGGGCCTGCTTGTCCCTGCCCAGCTGCTCACCACACTGTCTGACATCGCGCAGCCCTCTCCTCCCAGGAGACTGTACAGGAAGGACTTAGGGTCTGAAATGTGGGTATTTTGGGAGTCCCATGGGCTCTGGCAGATCTGATTAACGAGGCGGCCTCCCCCCACCCCACCTTCCTGCCTGGAGAGGTGGCATCAGTGGCTCAGAGCAGAGGAGGTTTCTGGCTTGGGAAGGGCCCTGGGCCTAGAGGCCAAGGGGACATGGGCACAATGGGGGTGTCCGATGCAGTCATCGCAAATCACAGATTGGGGATAGCTAACAGGGGCCCTGCAACGAGAGGAAGCCACCCAGGGAGGCATCAGGCAGGGTGTCCTGGGCTAGAAGCCCCCGGCCCTCCCTTGTCCCAAGAATCTCCAACTGCACCTTGACCTCCAGCCCAGGCCCCATCCCCAACCTGGTCACTGCCCGTGGCCAGGTGCCAGGCGCACCTCTTCCTCTGAAGGTTTCGCATCTTCTGCACGTACAACCACAGCTCCAGGCCCACGGGCAGCAACAGTGGGCGCGGGCGGGGGGCGCCATACACCACTTTGCACACAGCCTTCTCGGCCAAGCTCAGGGCCACAGGCTGGCCCTCCGTGGTGGCAGCTGGCATGACGGGGCTCTGGGCCTCCCTCCTGGTCGGCCAGCCCGCTCCCCACCTTGGCTGTTGGTCCTGGGGGTGTGCCAGCCTCAGGGTCCCCTGCTTCCTCCGACCCTAGAGGGCTGGGCTGAAGGCTCTGGTGGGCTCGGCTCTGGGAGACCCCCGGCCCTCTGGCAGGTCGACCAGGGCCTCCCAGGGTCTGTGGTGGATCAGGGGATCAAGGGCGGCTCAGAGCCAGGATCAGCACCGTCAGCAGGGCAGGCGGGCGGGGAGCCCAGAGGGAACCTTCACTGATGGGCGGGTGCACAGCAGGGGTACAGAGGCAGTGCCCAGCTCCCGCTGGCCCTGATTAGGCAAACTTGTACCCAACTCCAGCCCTGTGGCCAGTTCTGGGCCAGAGCCTGGACAAGCAGCATAGAAGAGCACTGGGCACCTAGTAGGCGCTGGCTCAGCGTTCGTAAGAGAAGGAAAGAAGGAAACGCAAAGTGTGCTCCCCCGCCCTCCTGCCTGTCTCGGCAGAGGGCAGGACCCTGGGCAGAGCCCTCCGCCTGGGGAAGCCCCCTGCCTGAACACAGCTGGGATTCGGCAAGGTCTGCACTCGGCCCCACCTGGTCCTCCTGGAGGCTCCACCCTGCCCACCCAGACTGTGTCCTCCCCGACTCTGCAGCCTGGCCTGGCCTCAGCACAGGTGTCCCCTGTCCTGTATGCAGAGAGTCAACAGGTAAGCCTGGGGGCCAGGCCACCCTGTTAGTCCCCGACCCTCTGGGGAGATGCTGGGCTTACCAGCACCTGACCATCTGAGGTGAACTCCCAGCCCCAGGTCTAACCTGGGTGTGGGAGCTGGAGGGGCCTGGGGCCGGGGAGCTTGGGAGGAACAGACACCCCCTCAGCTCCTTTCCTGAAACCTCCCAGTTCCTTCAGCCACCTTCTCAGCCCAGCTCCCAGCTCCTCCAGCCACCATGGCTGATGAGAGGCTAGACAGTGTGACCATCCCCGGGCAAAGGGGGTCAGAGCAGTGGGGGTCCGCACTAACATCCAGCGACAGAGAGGGGGACGCAGGGCTCAGTCAGGGTAGAGTCGTGGAGAAAAGTGTCAGGCCTCTCAAGAGGGCCTCCCCCGCTGCTCCAGCCCAGATCCCCTGGGGTCCCCTGGGCCCTCAGAGGCCCTCTCTGCCCCACTGCCCCACCCCGGAGCCCCTGGGGTCCCCTAGGCCCTCAGAAGCCCTCTCTGCCCCACTGCCAGAACACTTCCCTTCTCAGGGATGGGCCTCGGGATGAGAGGGAGCTCAGCGAGCCTGCCCAGCCAGAAACCTTGGGACAGGGAGGGAGGCACAGTCCCGGGTTCAGGGAGAACTAGAAAGCCTGCTCCCCCAAGCCCACCCCCGGGTCTGAGCAGAGGCAGGTGGGAGGATGTGGAGTCCGGGGCAAAGGCTGCCCAGGATGCAGGACCCCGAGGTCAGCATTAGTCCATGAGGCCCAGCAGACACTGCCGCTCTGGGCGGGGGAAGCCTGGGAGTCCTCAAAGGGGCTGGGTTGGGGGACGCAGAGTTGGGAGGATGAGGTCCCAGGCCACCCATCTGCCCACAACAGGCCCTGCTCCCCAGGGCATCCAGGCCAGGGTGCTCTGCTCCCTACCCTGAGGCCTCTGTCCAAAGCGGCTTTCCACCCGCTAGGACAGCTCAGCTCAGGGCAGGGCAGGGCCTGGACCATCTCCTTGCCCTGTTCCTGTCGACGAGCTGAACGCCTGAAATCTGCACATGCACAACCACCCCAGGGCCCCCCTCCACCACCCAGCACCCTGTGGGGCCCTGCCCAGGCTGGCTGGGCCCACTTCTTGGCTCAATGAAGAAGATTCTGGAGCCTCTGTCTCTCCACACCACCTCTGCAGGCCTGTGGTATGTGTTGTCATCTGGCAAGATGCTCAAGACCACTGGGGACCCACTGGGGCTGCAGCCACCCTAGGCCACCAGCTCCAGTGTGGTTCTGGCCTTCCCTCCCACTGCCCTCTGCCCATTCTGCAGGACTGCTGGGGCCTCCAGAAGGCCTGTCCACTCAAGGGCTCTCAGGGCCCCGGGGCTGAGGTCTTACCTCCCCCTTCACCAGCCTCACCACCCAAACCCTGGGAGGGGGCATCCTTCCCTCCTAGGATTTGCCACCTGGGCTAAACAGATGCTTAATTGTTCATCCACAGGCCTCCACCTCCTGGGGAGAGAGCTGGCCCACCACCTCAGAGGCCTCAGGGACCAGTCTGCCCACCCCAGCCAGGCAACATTCACCCGTGAGATCCGCTCTCTGACATGGTGACTGCCCGGCGCATCTCTCCTTGAAAGTGGCTGACCAGGGTCGGCCTTCCCAGCAGCCAGACCGCAGTGGCCAGGAGGCAGGGCACTGTCTGCCAAGCTCCCGCCACCTGCCCACTGGCTCACCAGTTAATGAAGTGGTTATTGACTCCCCAGCGGCCAGCCTCACTGCTCTGGCCACACCATCCCTGCATCCCTCCCACCTCGGACTACGCCTGAGACAGCATCCCAGGAGTAGCCATCAGCCCGGCCTCATCTGAACCATACTGCCCTGCTCTCCACCCTCTGCCTCCATGGGCTCCCCACCGGGGCTCCTGACTCCCCTTGTCTGCCTCTCCAGGCTGCAGGACGTCCTCTGGTGCCCACCGCTGAGGCTGGTCTCTGAGCCAGGCCCCCAGCTTCCACCGCCCAAGGCTGACTAGGGGCCGTGTCCCCATCAGCCCCTCTCTCTGCTAAATGCAATCACCCCTGTGCGGGTCTGTCATCCACACTCTGCTCACCCCTTGTCCCGCCACCCCCAGAGTGAAGCCACATTGACTCCCCTTCAGTTGGGGGGGCGGGTCTGGGAGCAGCATGGGACAGACAATGGGGTGGGTGTAGAGATTGCTGGAGAGGAGGGGTGGGAGGGCCACCCAGCTTCAGAAAGTGCCTGGGGGTCACACTTCCTGGGAGCCAGGGGCAAAACTGGGTTGCACGGCCATACAGAGTGGGATGAGGAGTGGGATAACCCTGTCTGGGTGCCTGCTGCCTGGAGCGCACCTTTAATGGGTCACCCCATGGTAGGGGTGCTATGCCTCTCTCCCCATCCCAGACCCAGATAGGACCCCTCAGTTGCTGGCCCGCAGGGAGCCAGGAGGCCAGGAGAGGATAGCCCATAGCTCCCCTACTTTCCAGGGGCTTCTTGGCCATCAGCCCATCCCCCCCCCAGCCCCTCAGTCCCTCCTTTTCAAACTCCTGCTCTGGGCAAACAGGCACCCCCACCCCACAAGACCCATTTGCCTCCCTGACCCAGTCCCTTCGTGAGGACCCACTGGGGGCACACTCACACTCAGGCCCTTCTCAGCGTGTGTTCCAAGCCCACTTCCCCTGGGACCCACTTGGTAAGAACTGAACTCATCTCACCAGGCAGGAATGTCAGTGTGGAAAGGGGAACCACCAGGCTGGAGGGAGACAAGGCTGCAGAGCCTGCCTGGCCCCAAGGAACCCACACACACATTGGGGTTCTCCTGAAACAGCCATCCAGGGGGTGCTCAGAACAAAAGGACCCAGTCCGCAGGCCATGCATGCGCCGGGCTGCCCACCCCCTGGGCTCCCACGCTGCAGGTAGGCTTCCCCAGACGCGCAGGCTTTCAGGGGTCAGATGGTCCTTTGATAGCTCCCTGGTAGCCTCTGGAAGACAGCTTTAAACAGGAACTGCCCTGTCTATGCCTGGCCTCTGCTGCGCCCTCAGGTCCAGACTCCCACGGACCTCCTCACAGTCCCTGAAGGAAGGCTTGTGGCCATGCACCCCAAACCTCTGTGGGGCTCACCCCCTTGAGCTCAACTCAGGGCTCCACTTGCAAGCATTCCAGCCTGTGCTCAGGGCCTCTCCCAGCTTTCGCTCTGAGCTCTGGCCCTGCCCAGTGAGGGCTCCCCTACAGTCCCTGCTGGGCCCTGCCACCAAGCTCGCAGGTGAAGTGACTAACACGGTGTGGACTCCATGCTCGGCTGCGTAGGGTCTCCCAAGGCCAAAGCTCAGGACGCCCCCTCCACCTACAGCTCTCCTATGCGTACAGACAGACACACACACACACACACAAGTCGGTGGCTGCCAGGTCAACTCCTGTAGTTCTTTCAAAATCCCCTCTGTTCATCGGAGAGACAACCCTGGGGAGAGACATGCTGCCCCAAACAGCTCTCGATTCCCATGGAGGGGCCTGGAGGGGGGTCCTTTAGGACAGGCCTCCAAAGTCAACAGCCAACAAACCCACTCGCACGCCCCTCCCCCTGCATGGGGCCCCGGAGCCAGGCCGGGGCTAGCGCTCCATCCCTGAGACCGTACAATGGGGGCTGTGTCTCCAGCCAGCAGCTCTGATCAGACCATGGAGGGAGGGGCCATCAGGGCCTCATTCTGCATGGGTTGGGGGAGCACCCAGCAGAGGTTTGCTGCTGCTGGACTCCTGACTTGGGCTGGAGAATCCTCACAGGTCAGGCTAGGCCCCTTGAAGGCTCAGCAGCCAGGGAGTCCCCCAGATCTTAAAGATGGAGCAGGAATGATAATGTCCTTCCAAGCTGGAGGGGCCTGTCACCACTGTGGGGAGCCAGGCCTGCCTCTGGGAGCTGCAGTGGGCAAGCATCCCCAGCACTCATGCTGGCCCTGCTCTGCTGGACACTTGCACCTGAGGACAGGCCCTGGGAGAGGTTGTACCCGCCTCATGGAACACCCTCGAACAGTCTGGAGTCACCAAGTAGGCACGCAGCCCTGGGCAGGGCCACCCTGTCATCCCTGACAGCGCAGAGTGGAGCCCAGACCGCTGGCATCACCCATGAACCTGCCAGAGGCAGGTGCCTTTTCAGGCAGGCACACACCCACCTGGCTGGCTCTGCAGCCCCAATCCAGCCTCAGTCTACCGGACCAGGGGCGCCCGGTGGGCTGGTGGGGGCAGGGCCCCATCAATGACACAGCCTGGTCTCTTCAGACATGCTGTTCCCTGAGGTACCCAGAGCAAGGCACTAGAGAGGTGGGGCC